CTTCTGCCACACACTGAAGCTGGTCTGTCTTACACAGAGCCAGTGCCAAAATGTGAATTTGACATCATTGCCTGAATGGGATGCGGTGTGCAGCCTGTCACTGGCTTTTCCTTGAGAGTAAGCAGTCGCACTGGCAAGAGGGTTGCGGACAGTTGACCCCAGCCCCAGGGGACACGGTGACATTGGCACATTTGATTTTCTAATGCAGACTGGATGATTCCCCAGTTGGTTTATTTAAAGCTACTTCTAGGTTTTTAGAGATTCTGACTGGTGGTTTTCAGAAGTCTTATGTGATTCTTTTAGAGTTGTGAGCAACCAGATGAAATGGGAAATTAGGAAGTGATGACTTTCTCTCCCTTACCTGGTCCTGGAGAAATTTAAAAGTTTTCTTATGTACAGGTAAGTGCTTCCCACCCGAAGTTCTCCATAGTTGACAAAAAACCCACTCTCTGTCAAATAGGTAGCAAAGTGGTATCGAATCCATGGAATGATGAAAGCAAGCCGCGGGACTGTAGTCTTTTATGAATAATCTATTTATCCCCAAAATGCAGTCTGAGAATGGCCAAAAGTATTTACTGCTTTTTGTCAGGTATGGTCCCTTTTTTTAATTTTAGCAACTGATGAAAAATATGAACAGGACAAAATCTGTAATAGCCAACATTTCTTCAAGTATCTCAGTTTTTTCTTTCACAATGCATTTCCATCTTACAGCAGAAAAAGGGTTGTTGTTTTTTTTTTTCTTTAAAGGAAAAAGGGAGAAAAGTCAAATAAAATCCTAAATATTTTTGTTATTAAACTTGCCAAAACAGAAAGATCCCCTTCATGCAGTTTTGTTTACTTGGCTTGCTGGCTGCTCCATCCTGTATGACACAGGATACCAGATCCAAATCTGGGACCTACTTTTTCTATAGCATTTGACTTTTGTGGATCTGTGAAACTCTACTGCCCAGACTTCAGAACGAGTTGTTTTCACCTGTGTTGTAAATGACAATTACACAGTAGAATCACAGGAATTTGGCAAGGCAGCGCTGACCTTTCATGAATTCAAGGGCATCTCATTCAAATGTCTGGGTGGGCTATGAGAGTAACATGTCTATCCCACCCCATCCTGCCCCATAGATGGTTATATTTTCCCCCTGAAAACATGACAGCCATCTTATATGAATAAATCAATTTTATTTAAATAAAATTACAGGCATATCTTGTCTATTGTAAACTACCATATAGTTTTTCAAAGGCACCAATATTTAACAATAATTTAAATTTTCTTGAGAGTAGCTACCTTTTTCTGGGTGGTGTTTGTAAACTTGTCAGACTTCCCTCCATTCATTCAACGCAAGCAAAATCCTTTGCTAGTGAAATGCCAAAGGTTGTACTTTTTTCATCGTAATAGGTACCTTGCTGTTCCTGGGCATCTCTGTTGAACGACGCTTGAGAAGAACGGGTCAGGTGTTCTGCATAGCAACCCCCCACCCCCCTGGAATGGGGTGTTTCTTTCCTTTGTGGCACCAAAAATACATCAGGCACAAAACCCCACTATGATGCTCACTCTGCATGTACTGTAAGGAATAAAAATGAAATCCAGGAGACTGCTGTTTCTTTGAGGCTTCAGGATCTGTTTCTTCTTGCGTTTCTTCAAGCTTAATAATGCAATGCCATCTTCTCTTATGCAAAGAGAGAGTTTTGGTAAGAAGCCTGCCCTATGGTTCTGTGTCACAGACTGCATTAGCCTCTAGGCTGGGCTTCTTTAAAGGCATTTTTGCTAAGTGAGGTTGCACCAAAAACAGCAGATGTGTCTGATGGGCTTATTTGTCCAGTTCTCTGATCGTTTACAGGAGATTCATAGCAGGGAGATACAGGTGATGCCTCTCAGCAGGCTGAGTCCTGCTCAGGTTTTCTTCCAAGGAAACACACAGACCTGCCACCACTGCGGGGCTAACGCCTGAGCACAGGTAAGGACAGAGCCAGAGCCACCAGGCTGAGGTGGTCACGGGAGGAACCGCAGCTGGCAGCCGCTCTTCTGGCCATCACGTTCGAGTACTGGCACCTTCTGTTTCTAGAAAAGCAGGTTTTTCAAAAGGAGAGTTTGCTAAGCATCCTCCACGTTCACAGCTCACTTGCATTACTGAATCCCACGAGGCTCACTTCATCAACTGATTTTGGCTTATCGCGACAGAGTTTTGTAATAATCCCCGAGTTCTCTGTGACGCATAATCTTCACCTTCACTACCCAGCACTGCAGAGGCTTTATAACCCAACCATGCTAATGGGAAAAAAATTCTGCCCTTTAAAAAAACCCCAACAATTTAGAGACAACGATGTGTCACAACACACTGCATTTGGCCAATGTTCCCCTGCTGCAATTAACAGGCAAGCTCCTCAGCAAAGCCATGGATCTTCCTTCTGGCTTATGCGAACAGAAAAATCTGATTTTAATGGAACCACAGTAATGAAACTCAAGTCTTAGATTTGCAAAGCGGAGTAAATATCAGTTAATTCAGAGTTTACAGTGAGACCACTGCAAAGCTCAGACATGGAGCTACAAAAATGCCATACCAATACCTCGCTTACAATAATGGCCTGAGACAGGCTTCATTAAAGTTTGCCAAAATCTCCAAGGCCCTTCAGAGAAAGGCATTGAAGAGAGGCAACCAATTATTAAGAACAGTGGTGATCTTTGCCTATGCATCTGCAGTTTTCTGGTTTACATTTCTAAACATAGAAATGTCTGAGCTTTCCAAAGTAGATTTATCTGGATAATCTGACACCTGGTTACAAGTGTCACTTCACGATACTTGGCAAAGATCTGAAATAATTTTTTTAAATTACCAACTGAAGTCTTTGAAGAAGACATATCAAAGCTCAGCCAGTCCATCATGCTTTTCTTTCTGCTTAGGTTATCCCTTTAGTTTAGAGATACAGCACATTAATATCTGTACAGTATTAAATAGAATTTATCAAGAAAAGCAGGGAAGAGACTTGCATTGTTCCTGCCTATGAGAAGCAAAGTACTTTCTGAAGATCTCCTTTAGAATAAATGACCTCACTGATTTTGGAAAGGCATTGATAAGCCTGGCAGTCTAAAATTCAGCATTAACAGCATGTGCAGCTATGGAAGGTGCTCCTTGAAAAAGAGAAGGTAAAAGATGGGTCCTAAAAATGAAGTGAATGCGTATGTTGCAGTGAAGGTGAAATAGCTTTAGAAAAAGCCTTTGACTTTTTTTTCTGAGTCCTGGGATCCCTTTGAGCTACAAACTATTTTATTGCCTATCTTTTTAAGCGATCAGCTTACTACAATTAATAATTTTATGCTACTCATTTTTCTGGTTCTTGCTGAAAAAAATAAAGGGAAAACTCAAAAGTAGAGTCACCAGATCCTACAGCTCTCATTCGTCTACCAGAGTCCAGCTCTGCATTCCCTTAGGCGCATCTGAAAATATTCAAATAATAGAAGCAACACACTTCTGCAGCAGCAAACCCAGCAGACTGCTACTATTTGAAGAGAATTTGTTGTCCTGCACTAGCCTGTTTCCGAAAATAATTAGAAAATATTCTTTTTAGAAGGTGTTCTAAAGGGAAGGGCTGTTTTCCAGAATGATCACCTTACTGCTGACGGATATGTAAAATGGCCCGTGGCCACCAGCGTTCATCCCGTGCTCAGCCCTCTGGCAAGCAGAGCATAGATGCAGTGGCACAGCAAGTGCTCCCTCCCGCCCAGCTGCTGGAGCGAGTCTTCCGAAAGATGTATTAGAGGCAGAGTGATGTTTCAAAAGTCCGCCCTGTAGGGGCAGTGTGCTTATATACAACATCATTTACTGATGTCTTTTGCCACGTGTCAGTTATTTCCCTTTTGTTGAGTACATCCCAAGCAATGCTGAGCGCTGGGGAGGGCGCTCTGTTTTTCACTAGATCAAGACTTCAGTTTTAGTGGGGAAAATAAATACAATTTTAAAATCTTTTTTTTAAGTCACTCACTGCTGTGGGTAGGTGGGCATGGAGCTGCTTTGAAGGCAACACCTGCCCTCCCACAGCTCACCCCGGAGCACTGTGCAGGCTGCTGGTGCTTGCAGGGGTGACACAGGGAAAAGGGTGCAAATCCACCTCATTCTGCCCGTAGATTAGCATTATCCACTCCTGACCCAGGTGCTGGGTCCAGTCTCATGTCTGCTATGAACCCTGCTCAAATTACACCAAATTCCACCGAAGAAAAGGAAATACCTTTGGAAAAGAGGCTTGCTGGTTGCTGCCCCACTGGTGACCCCTTGGCCTTTCTGGAAAAGTTGCTCCAGGCACTGAGGGAAAGCAGAGTCACTTTACTGCCCTTCAAAGTCAAATGACAGCAAACAGGCAGGACTATCTAGGCACAAGAAGGAATAACTGCAGTGGCTTTTGATCGTTATACACCTCTTTGGTCCTCCTACCACGCTTGGTAGTGTTTCTGCAGGAGTGAGCACACTACACACTCTTTGAGGAAATGCTGAATGGGTTTGCAGTGAGCAGTCCTTTCCATTTAACATAAAGCCACAAGCAGAAACATGAAGGTGTTATACAAGACAGCTGCAAGACTGTGATTTTTTTATCTTGTTCTGCTGTTTTCTGGGTCTGCCCAGCTATTTGTGCTTGCAGGGCAACAAACAGACTTATTTGGACACCCTAATTATGGAAACGTAACAGTCCGTTCAGCAGCAGCTGGAAAACATTTTGCTTAGCTTATAATGAGGCTTCATCATGCTACCTCATCCAGTCCAAGTCTGTCTAGTGTTAGTCTGGTTTTCTTTGAAGCATGTGATAAGCAAGGTACTAGTGCAACCACCACAAATCAATACCAAGCTTACCCTCCGTAAATAAAGATGTAACTGTGTGGATGTAGACAGTACTCCGGGGATGATATTTGCATAGCAAGTTGTAGTAAAGAATGAATAAGATGGCAAACAAATCTAGAAATGAGGTATCAATTAGCCTAATGGTAGAGTGGGTAAACTAGTCAAGCCACGTTCATGCTAAATTTCATCTTCTGACTCTTGATCTCGTTCAGGTGTTTTCAGTAATCCCATTTCCATGGACTGGGACTGTTTAACCTTTGAACGAACTGCCCTGGAAACAACAACAACAACAAAAAAAAAAGAGTTGTCACTAGTAACTCAAAGAGTCATCTGGCCATTTTTACTTGGTAAAAACCTGTTTAACTCTTGCATCTCATTGGGGAATTAGGATGATTGATTTAGGAAGACATAAAGTGGGCCACTGTGGAAGACATTGTAAAGAGGAGATCGTGATTTCAAGCAGAATCCAGGCAGAATTTAACCCCAGGCCTTAATTGTAGATTACTTGTATTTTAGTATGAGTGACCACTCTACAATGTGAGCATGTAGCGTGATATTAGCATGTGCTGCCTTTAACAATACCACCTGTATGTACTGCTTGTAAGAGCTTGTTCCTATGGACACATCTAAGAGCATACACCTCTAAGCAAACTTCAGTGTAACATCTGGGAAGTTCAATGTTGTGCAGGTACAAGACTGGTAACTGTGAAGAAGAATGAGTCTGGCCAACCTCCCCATGGATGGGAACTCTGCGCAGCTCACCTCCTCTATAGCTGCCATCCTTTACACAACAAACCAGTTACCCAGTCTTGAGTGTCGGTGCCTTTTGGACTGAGATCCAAAAAGATATGGCACCTTCTCAGTTCAAAGCAAGACTGCAAGAACTACATGTGGCCATAGCATGGCTAAATAGGGTTATTAGGGTGGTAGGAGTAAAGCGAGGGGTGGGAAACATGTTTAGGACAGTGCAGGCAAAGGCCTGTGGTAAGGTCCTGTAGGTAGAAGGTGATCACACATGGCAGAATCAGGCTCATTTTTACAACCAAGTTAACTCTGCAGGTGGAATTTTGTCAGAATTAGCACCGGGCAGTGAGGAAAAGGGCTAACTTTAGAATTAGGGGATGAAACTGGCTGGTGAAAAAGAAATCAGGTCTAATCACAGGGAATTGCTAGCAATGAAACCTGTCCAATGACCTTCAAAGATAGGTCATGAAGCCTGCTGACTAAGCCGCTTGGAATTAGTAGAGATGACCACTGGGAGAGAAGATGAAAAAAGGGTCTTTTTATGCACTTGCAAATGTGGAAGACTATCAAAAGGACCTCATTTTATGTGAGAAGCATTACGCTGTCAGAGCTGTACTTTATGAATGTTCTCCCCTTTCTACCGAAGCAATGAGTCATGTTGTCTTCATTGATCAGCGATATCTATTTTTATTTTACCTTGCAAGACAATTAATTACTTGGCAGAAACCTTCTGATTTGCCAGTGAAACTTTTCTAAAATAAAGCTCCTGCTAGACTAAATAGACAGACCTCCAAAGTTTTATTGTTTCAAATAACTTACCAGCTGACGATTGTGTAATTCACTGCAAGTATAAGAAAAGCAAAGGCATAATGCCAGCAATAGCACATGGTCAGGAACATCATATTAGTATGATCCGTCTGATTCCACTCTGGGCTCCCATTTGGAGGATAAAGCACAAACCCAATCTGTAATAAAATAAAAGATACTTAGCAAATGTCATTTGGTGTATATCCTATGCCGTATCATGTGTTACACTGCCCATCACAAGGCAGACATTTCATTTTCTTATAGCGCTGATTATTTCTGTGATTATTATTAAAAACAATTTTGCAGTCATACTCAGATGCGATGAATCATTTTACACAGTTTTGTGCAGAAACACCTTTGAAGATGCAGAGCCCGACCCAGAGACCCCCTGCTCTTGCCCAGCAAATTAAGGAACTGGCCCAACAAGACCTGCAGCGACCACAGTTACATATGGTAAGGAAAGGGGCTGGTGCTCAGCTGTGTATGGTCTTGAACTGCAAGTGCATCACCAAACAGCAAATCTGCCCAGCCATTTGCACTGATTCACTTCTTCCTAACAGTGGCTGGGAATGTGTTACATGGTTCAGAAGATAAATAATAAATTAATAAATAAGAAGAGCTATTTCTTCTGGGTCATCCGGGGAAAAGGTCAGGTTTTGAAATGATGTAAAAATGGAGCTTTCTCACCCAAGTTTGTGTGAAATACATAGCTGATGTGTTTATTCAGAGCTGGGAAAGATCAAATTCAGATTAATGCGTGAGCTGGGAGACTGGTAATCCCATGGCTACACGTGGGTCTGCCTTGACAAGCACCAGTCCTCTGTACTGCCTAAATACTCTTCAAAGTCACCGCTCAGCAGTTTAGCTGAGAATTTAGGAGCTGGGAAGAGGAGGAGAGGAAGGAGGAGGGCAGGGGTGCATTTTGCATTTCCGTGCAGAAAATTCAGTGAATGAGGGTGTTGGTGATGCAGAAAGCAAGTCCTTTTATCTTTTACAAATTTGTCATGCTGCAGCCCGTATGTGGCTTTCAGTCACACATACGGTTGAAGTCTGATGCGGGTGTGAAAAAAGCCACACTTAAATCTCTTATATTTTTAGTTATTCAGTTTTTTACTTGGAAACAAAACCCACGTTGTGTCCAGAGCTAAAGAAATAACTTGTTCTAAAATTAGACTGGGCAGACAACAAGGCATAAATGGTTGCATCTAATTCCTCTTATGTAAAGTTTCTTAAATCAACAAAGAAAAGTTTACAAACAAGAAAATAAAACACCAAGTGCTGCAGCACCAGGTTCTTGAGTTCACTTATAGAAAAAAACTGCCATTTTGGAGGTCTGTCTTCTTGCCAGAGCAAGTATTTAAATATTTGATTTGGTGCTCAGTGTCCAGTTCTCCTAAGGAACAGCAAACATTTTTATTAACCGTGTCTGGCCAGCATATAAAAAAGGGAAACCAGTCTAGACATGCCGGAAAGAAAAATCACTGGAGTGACCTCAGTTCTCCACTATAAGATGAAACGCATTAGCACTCCTATTTCTCTGTTACAAGATCACAGCAATTCATTAAATTCTCTCTCATGTTTGACAGTGGAGAAAGGGTCACTAACAAATATCTATTAATTGGATAGAATCACAAGTAAGAGAAGGCACGGCAGCTACATTTTGAAGAGTCTTTTTGGGAGTCACATCCCTGAAATATAAAAGTTTGGGCTGTCAATCCTCCTCAATTTCCCGAACACTGGAAAAGCAGGAGGCCTTTACATCACTCTCTTAATGCGAATTGGGAGCTCAAATACCTTCTAAGCCTAGGTTGCCACTGTTGGAATGTTTTTCAGAAAGAGGCAGCCAACATGAAAGATAATTTGCACCTTCGTTCCTCTTCACGCCATGTCAATGGGTGCTTTGCCTCACCCGCCAAGTACTCCGCTGGGCATTTACTCGCTGCTCCGGCAGCTGGCAGTGGGGACGGTCTTCATAAAGAACAGCAGATATTGCCGGGCTGTAAAATCACTGCCGTTTGGCCGGCAGGTTTTGAACAGGACGTTACAGAGATCAGAGGGGATGTTCAATTGCAAGGGAGGGCTCAACAAAACCACCATAGCTCTTTTATTGATTCAAATAAAAGACACTGGAAGTAAGATGGCTCCTTCGTCTGTAAAACAGATACAGTAAATGCTTTTGTCTCTTTAAAGGGACAGGAAGAGTGCATTGTTTTCTATGAGTCCTTTGAGGTCTGTGTTTAAAAGTTATATTGTATCACCTGTGAAACATCCGCAAAGGGGTAAATGACTAATTTTGGTGAAGGAAGAAATTCCTAAGGCAGAAAAGTGACCTACCTGCCAGAACCAGCTGCCTTGTAGTATGCAGAGGCTTGTACGGAGCATCTCTAGCACAATACTGCCGCGGAAGAAAACTTCCAGAAATATACAAACAGCAGCGCCAAAGATAGCAAATAGCAGTAACTGATGAACATGAACATCCAGCATGGCTCTCCCATGAAGATGGTAACAAAAAAGAAAACCTGGAATAAATTAAGTGATCAGTTTAAGATATTTTCTTCCCTTGTAATCTCCCTGCATCTGCTTTCAGAAAACAGTGAACCTTTAGCATTTCTCTTTGTGCCGATATCACTTTCTCAGCTGATCTGAGAATAATTTTTTAAGACTGATGCCTGCGTACTGGGTACTCCCACTTTTGAGCTCTGACCAGGAAATAGCAGCTCTGTCACCTTTTGTTTAAAATACGTTAACAAAAACTCTCATTCATCCGTCTCTGCAGCGTAACAAGAGGGATGCCATGAGATATACCGTGCATACAGAAAACATCAATTGAGTGTGTCTCCAGTGCAATTCCAACATGAAATTGCTGTGTAGGTAAGTGCCCTCACACTGGCTTTAGCCAACAAGCTGTGTACCGTGTCAGTACATCCATTGGAGCACACGCCCAAGCTGCTGAGCACCTACCCCAAACAGGCTTGTGATGCTATTTTCATAACATTTCTCTTGCTGTCCAAGCCAGTTAAGGAAGCACAGATACACCTCTACAATGTGTGATCATGCTCTGGGCTGCAGTGCAGACAAACCCTCCACAATTTAAGGAGGGCCAAGACCGATCTTTTTTAAGCATTTCAGGGAGTTAAACACCCAGCTCCCGTAGGCTCATTCCCTAAGGCTGATTTGAGGTTCCCAGACCAAAGACCAATACCTCTCTGCAAGTTTCACATGCACTTCTGCGGAGAGAGGTAAACTGACCTTCAATAAACACCGCTAAGGAAAGCATCATCCTGTCCATGGCCACTGGCAATGCGTTGGTCCCATGAGCCACAATGTCAACCAACCCTGAAATGCCATAGAAGAGGTACATGGTGGCATGTTGCCAGTTCATCAAGTGATCCCAGTGCTTTTCCTCATAATTATACAACTTCAGATGAGGTCCATCAGGAACAAACTGCTCAGCCACCATTCCTGCGCATGAAACGAGAAGTGTAACTATTTGTCCCGGTGCTTAAGGTATAGACTGAAGACAACTCTTTACACAAACAACAGAGGCAACAATATATACCCACGCAGCACAGCACTGGTCAATTTGGGGTTTAGGCTGGTTGCCCGAGTATTGTTCTAGGTGATTGCTATGCTTTGCTCCCTTCTGCCCAGTTCATTCCCAGTCAAGTTTTTGACATGTTTTCCAAATTCAAGTTAAAATGCACAGAGGCCTCAAAGACATTAATTTTATATAAATTTTCAAGAAAATAGGCAGTGGGTGGAGGAGAGATGAAATAAATCGCTTTGCTGAGGAAAAGACCACAGAGTGAGCTCATATATTAAGCATCACGTAATCCAGAGAGGAGAAAACCAGAGGAAACCAGGCTTCAGCTCCACTTCTGGTGGGACTGTTTGCATCTTGCAGTTTCCAGCAGTGAAAATGGAGACAGCTATTCTGTGCTGCTTTTTTTAAAAAAACAATTCCTATTGTAGTAGACCTCTGACTGGATTTTTCAGCTGCCTTTCCCAGTGGTTCAAACATGCCTATAACACATGATGAAGTCCCCAAAAGAAAGATTTACCATTCCAGTCCCCTGCAACGTGCAGGATGGCAGAGTTCAGACTCTTAATTCAAAGGGGATTTTTCCTATAAAGCCATAAAAGGAAATCTCTCCACCGTGCAGAGTTATTAAAGGTCCCATGAGAATGTATACGGAGTTAGTATTTGAATTGCTGCTCCACCTCCTCCCTTACCTTGGCCCCTCAGTGTCTTGCTAACTAGCTGCAGTATGCCAGCAAGGGGAAAGCTGCTTTTAGATAGCTTTATATGATCAGTGAAGCTTGGGAAGGGTTTAAAATACATTCTGCTTTTAAAACATTAAAGTTACTTATGTTGTTCATAAAGCGTGGACCAGCATCCTGCTGTATAAGTAGCTATGCTGCAGAGCAAAAGCAGTGTTTTTCCACCTTTATTTCAAGTTTTCCTAACACAGAAACAGCAGGTTTTACTCTTTCAGCTGCTTTTACTGTTTGTCCTTGCCAGGCTTTCTATTCCACGTTTTTGACTAGAATTGAAATTAACATACATTAAAATAACAGCTTTTTGTTTCAGGGTAAGAATAAAAACACTAGATGAGTGTTTTAGCTGCCCAACTACCTCTTCACACTGACTGGGAGATTTGTAGGAGAGGTGTCCCCACTCACACCTCAAAACGAACGCTATTATTTAGGGTTTGATAATTTTTTAAGGCAAATCAAAGCGGATATGGTACACACAACATCACTTCAGTGCTGATGTATCTTAACTGATGCAACTCCCAGCGGGGAAGGAAAAGCAAAACCAAGATTTTGTCACAGCCTGCACCTCGATTAGAAACCAGGCAGCTCTGAGCATCTAGAGAGGAGTAGATAGGTAGAATCTAAAAATCTAAAAAACCTAAAAATTAAGGTCCTTTTCAACTTGAGAGCCACATGTGCTGAGCTCCCCAGGTCCCCTGTTATTTAGCTCACTTAATCTAGAAAGGTCAATTGCTAACATACAGCCTGCTGGAATGTAAACAAGAACTAGGCACTTCCAGTCGGCTGCACAGCTCACTAAACCATGCCCATGGGTTTAGGCCACCACCACAACAGGAGGGGAGGAACAGCCCCCCACCCCGTTGCAACCGTCCTGCAGCAACAAGATCTGCGATTCAGTCTGTCTTTATGAATATTTTCACTCCTGAATGACATTAATCAAGAAGCATCTGCATCTACATATTTTATCAGTAACTCAATGGAGACTACCGACATCCGAGACGGCTGGATTCAAAATAGAAAAGCAGTGCCCCCACACTCCAGTGCTCCCAGCATGCATGAGACAGCCCCTTGCCTAAATATCTTACCTCCCTCCCTGAAGTAATGAACACTGTATGAACACTCAGACAGACTCGCTGTGGAGCAGCCAGGAGACCTTGAAGACCGCTATGGATGGAAACCACACTACAGCCATAACTATGTAATGAATAGCAGTAGGCCTGCTAGTTCTTAAGTTCATGGTGTTTAAAGGACAAAATGCCAAAATCACAATGAGATACATTTTATCAGAGAAGAAAATAAAAAAATTAAAACAAAAGAAAAAGTGTTGAAAGGCACAGCCCTTTTGCCCTCTGACCCAAGTCCACCTTACTTACCAATGAGGGCAAAGACAGCTTTGATGATCCCCTCAACAAACTCCAGGCGCTGAAATCCTGCCCTGGAACCAAGGTAGCAAGCGTTCTTGTTTTTTCGACAGGCATACTTCAGTGGATACTTCACTGACCACCACAAACCAAAAAGAAGGAAAAAGCTTCCAGGTAGGGCATGCCCTTTGAAATTGCCCATAGTTTTCCACTAGGTGATACCTGAGGGTGGAACAAATGCAGATGGATTATGGGAATAGTAAGAGAATTCTGTGCGTTATAATTTTAAAGTATCTCCCTGCATAGATCAAAAGGGTGTCACTGAATTACGTACTCACACTTTACTTAAAAATATATTTAGGTACTTATCTTCCCTGGCTGCTCAAAACAGCCAGCCAGTCTCCCCAGTTTCATAGCTTTGCAGAACAAGAGTAAGAGACCCAACTGCAAAGCAGAAGGCCTGAAATGCAGAGCTGGCAGTTGGCAAGTTAAGAGAAGAAAAGCCATAACACAGATAACACACTATGTCATGCTGTTGAAGTTGTACTAGCAAAAGAGAGAACACAAATATTCACAATTTGGTCCCTTCACCTTTAGGTAGGGTTTTCTGTTTCTTCAATCCACAGACAAAAATCAAGACAATATCTGGGCTGAAGGAAAAATGAATTGTACACAGATCTGATGGGTAACTATTCACTAAAAAATTGTATTTTGTATTTCAATCCAGATGTCTCGTTATGATTTACAAACATCAAATCATTCTCAAGACTTGATAGGTGAATTATGCACCCACAACTAGACACATATTATCAAGTACATCAAGTGCACTGAGTGATACGGTTATTGCTAAGTCGGTCAGTGTTACACAGTCATTTAAAAGCAGTGCCCTTAATAAAACCTAGTAATTCTGGTCATCATCCCAACTTTTAGGAGAGTCAACTTAGCTCCAGTAGCTTCTTCATTAAAATGACAGTTCTAACATTAAATTGTAATTTTTCATTACGTTATTATAACCTGAATTGTTGTGCATCGTGACCCAAAGGCATACCAAATCTTTGCACAGGCAACAATCAAGAATAACCACTTTAGAAGCATTGGCAATCTGTACTTTCTGTTATTATCGTTGCTGACTTAAAAATCCAATCGCCACACTACGCTGGAGCCATCTGATTATGAATAGAACATGGAGGCCCTAGTATATTTTTCTTTTCAGTAAGTATTTCCTATGGTCAGCTTTGCATAAGAAGTTTTAAACTGTGGCTTGTGAGCCATGGAGTACTTGCAGATGGTTCACGTAACGCTGTCTAGTCACGTAGCGTGAGCCCTCTCCTATTTCTGGAGGCTAAACTCCACTGAAAGCTTTTTTTTTTTTTTTTGGAGAAGAGAAACTTTTCCACAGGCACAGGTCCTGCAGCTGCCATAAGACTATTACCCAACTGCACGAGGAGAGGTGACCTATATAGCCACAAAGGAGAAGAAAAAAAATACGACTGTTCATGCACGGGATGAGGCAGGCCGTGATTTAAACAGGGATGCTGAAGAGGGTCCTGCCCCTGCTGCCCCATCCCCTCCTCTTCCAGAGATCATTTCTCCCACTGTAAGGGCTGCAGAAGGGGAGGGGTGAGCTTTAAAAGTTTTCCCTGGATAAAGCTCCCCTTAGCTAATTTCTAGGGGAGTATTGCTGAAGTACAAGAAAAGGGAAATGTGATATTGGCTGCCCAAGCAAGCCCATTTCTGGACATGCCTTCACAGGTATTGCCAGTGCTGGCATCTGCGTATCGAAGCCTGGAAGGAAAGCGTGCTGAGATGGCTGCACCGAGTCCGGGGAAGGCTCCCGAGGAAGTAGCACCTGCCAGCCGTGGGGCAGCCAAACAGGGAATGAGGGAGGTATTCTTATGTATTTTTATGAAATGTAAAGGACTCCATTTGGGATGTCTGCTGTGTGGGGAAGGGCTCCTGCATGCCACTTGTGTCCCATCAAGAAGAAAAGCAAGCTTGCCATGTCCAGAGCTGTTGGGGGGGGCTTTGCCTCAGCTGGTGGCCACCCGGCCACTCAGACCAGAACAGCAAAAGCCAAGAGGAGGAGCAAGGGGTGGCAGACCCCGCAGGTGGCTCTCAGCACGGGCACTCCAGCCACCAGGATGGTGATGAGCACCTCCCTCTCCGCTCACAAAATGCTGAATTAAGCTGTAAACCTCCCTGTGGCTGAGCATGTGTTAGCGATGCCAGTTCAGCCTGCTTGTGAGCTGAGCATCTCCGCTCCTGGCCCAGGGTGGGCTGGGCAGGGCAGGAGAAGAAGGTGGCAGTTGAGGGTCTGAGGGTCAGGACAGCCTTCTGCCTCCTCTGCCTCCCCCACCACTCTTAAAGTCCTGCTAGGTTGATGCCTCTGGGTTTTATTTGCAGGTGGGGAAAGCACCGCTCACCCTTGAGTGGCCTACAGCACGGTTGGGCTCTCAGTGGTGGGGTTGGGGGGCTGAGCCCCACATGTTAGACCCAGCCCCCACAGTCTCGCAGAAGAGGTACCTCATTTCAGGACATCTTTAGTCCAAAGAGTCTGACCAGCTTGTCCATCACTGCCAGTACTCACTGCGCCATCGTCTGCCTCAAAAAAGGGCAGTACTAATGGGAGCTGAAGTTTCAGACAGTTGCCTAAACTTTGCTTTAAACCTTGAAATACTTCTCTTGCTTTGAAAACCATTCCTGTAAAACTTGTTGGCCTGAAAGGCCTTGCTGTCTTTTCAGACACATTGGTTTTTTTCCTTCTTTGAATGAAAGGAAGAGGGGAGGAGTGGGGAGTGGCCTTTCCTCGCCCTGTGTCTGATCTCACTGAACACCATTCATTAGAAAGACTTCATTCATTAGGTATTTTATTATTCATCACAGGTACATAGTGCTCCAAAGAGAAAGATTTACCCTGTACCCCACATCAAAGCGAGATACTGGATTCAAAAGGTAAATTAAACCTATGAAAAGCCTCCCTCTAAGAGAGTACAGCTGCGGTAAGAATCAAATGAAGAACAGCGTGTTGATATCAGTTGTCGTGCACGGTATGCAAAACTTCAAAAGTAATTCTCAATCAGTAAATTCACACTTGGGTGACCTACAGCTCTAATCATGGCAGGATTTTTCTGCCCTAAATCTGGGTAATCCATCAAGATACTCTGTTTAAAATTATTTTTTGCCTTTCAAAACAAGGGAAAAGAAGAAAAGACTGATACAGCAGCTACTCCTGCATATCCAATATAAACAAAAGAGAACAGAAAATTTGATTTTTTGCTATAAGCAATGCAGTCAGCTATTATTAGCTTTAGAGAGTGTTAACTTCAGTTTGAGTTCATCCAAAGGTGTTGGGGATTATTTGTAGGATTTCTCTAGAAAGAGACACGTCAGATCTGCCAGCCAGCTGTTGCGGCAGACCTTTGGAGCACTGAATCTCAACACAGTTGGCTTCAGAAAGGAGTTACATGAATTACACTTCAAATCCTTAGTAAACTTGAAAACATCATGAAAGAGCTTGCCTTAAACTGATTAAACTTCCCAATTAATGAATTTTCTCTTGTCGGGCCTAAGAGTTTATTTCGGCAGGGCTAGAAGTCAACTGCCATCACCCACAGTTTTGATGTGACTGAGAAGTTTTGCCTGCAGGTAAACCAGGTGATATCGCGTGGTTTGGGGGCTTAGTATGACACTGAGGGCACGGCGAGGATAAGCAGAGCCTGCCCTGCAGGAAGATCACTGTGGGGCCAGGAGGTGGATCTGGGAGGTGTGAGGCAGGGGTGCAACGGGAGGCGAAAGGAGAGGAGTACGGGGTGGCAGGCTGTTGCCTTTCTGTGCTGCGCTTTGACATCCCCCTGTGCAGCATGGGGCAAAACAACTCCCGCCAGCTCTTCCGCACAGTGTGGGAGCCAGCCAGTTTCGGTATCTCAGGTGCTATGTATTGGATAAAGATGGCAGCAGCATGTTATGACAGTGCTCAATAAATCTGAGGGTTTATTTTTTTACAGAGCTTTATTCCATAAGCTAGCAAGCAAATCACTGGAGGACTGACATTGCAAGATGTGCAAATCCCAGACCTTCTTTTATCCTCAGTGATTTCAGGGATGGGGGTGCTGGCAGAGCCACAGCCACGTTCTCAGCAACAAGCCTTCCTTGCTGGCCACCACCATCCCTAGAGCACATCATCTGCCAGAGATGCAAGCAGAGAAAATCCTGAGGCTGCCCCATGGCTGGGGGCCATGAAGTCTGGGCTCGGCCATGCAGGTTCTGCCCACATTCCCTCCCCTTTCCCCCAAAGGCACTCAGTCACACCAGGTGCTGCATGCCTACCTGCAGCTGGTGACCTGCTTGCACAACTTCAACCCTGTCCAAATCCTGCTGCTAACCCCACCAGGCAAAGCCAACGGTGCTGGTGCCTACAAGAGGCACGCAGACAGTGTCACCCTGCCACAGCCCTCGCCATGGATGACAGGGTTTGGCTTTCCAGCAAGCATACGCACACTCCCTGACCATTGCTGATGGGATTGCCCTGTTACCTGCTGTGCGCACCCCCAGGATCCCTGCAGGCTCACTCAGCTTTTCACGTCTCCACCCTGAAGCATCACCACCCAGGACCACCAGCACCACCACCACCAGCTATGGGGACACAGCAGCCAGGGCACCAGGAACTTTTGGACTCTAGCAAATCAAAGTTTAGACTCAACCTGGGGAAGTTCCCTCCCTGCTGACAGGCAGCAGGGCTGCCACCATGGGGAGTGTGCCCGGGAACCAGAGAAGGTGCATGCTCCAGTCCAGATTCGTGCTTTCCACAGCAAGTACTCCTTGATAACCCGCTCTCGGGAGGGTGTGAGGTGCACCAGGAGGGGAGGCTGCTGTCAGAGTTCAAGGGCACCCATGGGCCTTAATTACCCCAACCAGCCTCACCCAGGACCCTCACCCTGGCACCCCTGCCCAGGGATCCAGGGTCGCAGGGGAACTGGAGAAACAGGTGATTAGGCATAATCCAACCAGCCTCACCCAGGACCCCCACCCTGGCACCCCTGCCCAGGGATCCAGGGTCACAGGGGAACTGGAGAAACAGGTGATTAGGCATAATTATGGCAATAGATTCAATTGTGAGGTAGTTTATAAATTTTAAGTACCAGGCAACCTTTCTGCAGCTGATTGAAATAAGGAACAAGAATAATTTACAGCTACCTGTGAATG